AATCAGCCTTCCACACTGAAAATGAGAAAGCCACCGAAGACACACGTTAAAGTACATTTTTAATTATGGTTTGCATTGCTGAATGGTGCCATCTAGTGGGCGGGACACACTGCACCAGATAAGGTAGATACCGGGTTTTGCTGAAATGTATCATTTATTCGAGATGTTATTTAAACTTGGATAACATCACGTCTCAAACAATTGCTTGCTCTTTAAAGGCTTTTGGTTCTACAAGGAAAAAAAGGTTCAGTAAAATGAAGACAGAAAATGACAACTTGCTCCATTTTTTTTATTCAAAAAACAACAACAAAAAAACAAAACATAGTATTTAAATATTTATATAAATATTTATTTGAACAGAATTCTAAACTTCATTTTAGAAATTATTGTTTGGGTTTGATAAACATTCCTTGAATAATATTGAATAAAACAATTTTTCTTTAATGCACTGTCTTGCAACAGTGGATACCCGATATTAGCTATTTACATTCACAACATTTCTTTTCAAAACCATACCAATAAAATTTATTTCATCTGTATATTTTCAGACTTGCTCCTCTTTTTCCCCTGCCAGTATTTTTTTAAAGAATAATAATTTGTGCATGGTTAAAAATATGTAGCAAACTGCAATATCTTCAATCAAGTTCGTTATTATTATATTAGTTACATAAGAATATGTACAAAAAATGGTCCGTTGGAACTCATGTCACGTGATCTGATGAGGTGCTTCGAGCATCTCCATTAAGAAAGTGTCTATGGGTGTGTCTCCAATCAGCTTAAAGAAAAATAGGTGCTCCAAACACTTAAGTCCAATGGATCGGAGGGCAGGAAGACGCAACAAAAGTTTAGCAAACCTGTAAAGCAGGCAGGGAGCAAGATAGCAGATGAAATGGAGTATGTGCAACAGATATGATCAGTATTTATTGAACAAACATGTACATGACTGTACCTGCCAGGCTGGTCAGGATATTTCTGTTTAGTATAGGTCTCCAGTGAGGCGTAAACTTTCTCCCTCAGTGCCTCTACCTCTGCTGGGTTGGACAAGCCTTTGGAATCTACGAGAAGAGACAATCTGCATGATTATAAATATATATTAAGTATATCAAAACATCTTACATATCTTTACATCTAATCTATTAACCTTCCATTTTGCAGTGCATAAAGGCATTTCAAAAATCACCAGTATTTTTGTGTTCCACAGATAAATAACGACAGAATTGTACTTTTTATCTCTTTAACTACTACATATATTATATTATATTACAAAATACAAGTTTTCTCTTTAACTTGAGTATTTTAATAATATAATATAATATAAATTATAATATAATATAATAATATGCTTTATAATATAAAATCAGTCAAGGTCTTCACAATTTATCATCATTATTCTGTGTCAATTCCCAAGGAATTCCAGGAAAGAAAAAAAAATATTTTGGAATGTAAATAATGGCAGGATTTGGGTGAACTATTCCTTTAATAATATTATATTATATTATATTACAAAACTTTAAATGAAATAAAATAACAACATTTTATTTTATACACTTGTCTTTGTTTTATACACTTGTCTGCAGCAAAGTTTATCTATGCTGCAGACAAGTGTATAAAAATGGAAGTGTGCAACACACCAGGGTTGAAGAGGACGATGGCTCTAAGGCAGCCTAGTTCTGTCTTATCCATCTGCATATCCTTCATTTTAGACACCAGCTCAGTCAATACCCTGCCACACAAA